CCCGGCCCGGCCCGGCCCGGCCCTCACCTGCGCCGGCTTGCCCGTGGCCTTGGCCAGCTCCTCGGTGAGCTCGGCCAGGAGCCCCTCGGGCAGCGCGTCCCGCGAGACGTTGGTGGAGACTACGAAGACCGGCATGGCTGCAGGAAGGAGCGGCGACGGCGGGGCTGCGGATGCTGGGAGCTGATGCTGCGGCGCTGAGCACGCCCCCTCCAGAGGCTCCTCCTCGTTTCCCCCCCCCGTTTATCCCCTCCCACGATGGGCGGAGCTGTGCCCCCCTCCCCCAACTCTGGGCCCGGAGGCGGAGCAAAGAAAAGGCGGGAGGAGGAGGAGGCCCTGAGGGGAAATGGAGGATTTCTACAGACGTCTCTTCTGAGGGGAAACTTCTTCCAGAAGGAAAGATGGGAAGGAAGACGGAAGATTCGCTTCTATCCAAGCATTTTCAGGAGAGGCTGGCCATTGCCTGCTTCCCAGGGCTGGGAGTGGATGACTCTGCCCCAACGTCTCCCATCTGGCTTTTATGCGCTGGGCAGGACTCGAACTCGCCGTCTCCTGGTTGACGCTTCAACTGGGCTCTCAGCTGTAAATAGGGCTGCACTCTAAAGCCCCTCCACAGCTGGGGATGCTCCTGGACGCCTTTTGCACATCTGGCTTGGGACTTCTCCCCCAGGACTTCTGCCTAATCCCCCCACCTGTGAAAACCAGGGGGTTCCCTGTCGGCAGCTCCCTCAGAGGTTTTAGGTGGAGCTCAATCCCTCTAGCCTTCCCTTTCTCCCAGAGATGCCTCTGCAACCATTCTCTCCCCGAAGAGGAAGTGACGGCTGCGCCACAAAATTATCTCCCCTTTCCAAGTTCTCTGCAGCTCCTACAGCAGACTTTTCCACTCCTTCTGTCCAAATTTGGCTAGACCGGCACCGCGTCACATGGTGGGGCTCCAGTCCCCAACACCTCCACACCTCACTTGCATCTGTGGGGCTCCTGATTCAAAACATTTCCACACTAGGCCCGGGAAAAACTGGCCTGCTTTTTTACTCTTTCTCCTCACTCCCAAGACCAGCAAAACAGCCATGCAGACCGCTGATCCATGCCAGAAAGATGTTGACCGCAATCTCTTAGCTTTCTGGCTAAGAAGCATCTGAAGGGGGCCTGGCACAAGAGCCTTTAGAAATCTTTGAATTGGGAGCTGGAATGCCCTCCTCGCATGGCAGTCGGTTCTTACGAACTTCCACCGCAAGCTCCTCTTGTGGGAGAAGAAAAGAGGGACTCATTCTGAGAATTCAGGGACTGGCTACTTGGGCCTGAGGGGGCATCGTGCCACATAGCACACCCCCGTCTGAAGTATCACCAGGCCAAAAAAAACACCTGGCAGGCAATAAGATCCCCTTTGAAGTGTGGACTGACTACAAGAACTTAGAAGCCCTGAAAACCCCAAGGAAACTAAGCAAGTGTGATGGGCTTTGTACTTCAATCGGTTCAATTTTACCCTTGGTTACTTGCCAAGGGGGAAGAATTTCCTCACTGATGCTCTTTCTTGGGTGCTTCAATATAAAAGCACCCGGGAGTAATTTATGATTTCTTGTTTGTGAATCAAGGATCCAGTTCACTGCTGATACGTTTGTGTAAAATGTGTGTGAGAGAGAGACAGAGTAAAGGTATTCTTCAAGACAAAGGGATAATTGGGTCAAATAGTTTTAAAAACTACTGATATGGGGTGTCTGCTGGATATGGTCAAAAATATATAGGTGGTAGCCAGTTAATATGATTATGATCTCTGGACACGAACTGAAAAGACAGGCTTTGTTTGCAGTGCAGAGTACAATATGACACACCAAATGTTCTTCAAATGTAAAGAGATGGATTTTGCTCTTTGAAGCTATGCAAAATTTCAGAACAAATGCGGTAGTGTTGTGATTGGTGAATTTTATGTGCTGTACAGTTCTCCAAATACAGAGATTTTGCAGTTCAAGAGTTAAAGTTTGGTACAAAGTACAGTTTCCTTTGGATAACTATTTTCTGAGAGAAAAACTTGTTTCTTTCCATAATTTAGCTTATTAAACTCCATTGTAATTTCGAGAATAGATTTTCCTTTTGTTTCTGGAAGATATAAGTAGATGATTACACTTGAAACGGCCAGGATTCCTATAAAAATCAGAAAGCAGAAGGGACCAAGATATTCCTGAAAACAGAGAGAAAGGAAAATTAAAATCTAAAAAAGGCACACAGTGTTGCATTCTTCAGTGTTTAAATTTAAAGACGGTGGATCTAGTTTATTAAACAAGCCCTGTGTTTTTCTATTTCATATTATTGTGCAGCTAAGCTAGTGTGTATATCCGGTCCTTTTGGTGACTCTGGTGCATTGGCCAAATCAAGTTACTCTTACCACCATGAATGGGAAGATCATCCCAAGCAGAAAGAGCCCCATCCAGTTGATAAATCCCACAATTACAAAGGCAGATGGACGGTATGTTTGATTGAAGATTTCCACCATAACTGATATTGTGGCACCAGCTAGCAAAGAGGGAGAGAAAGAATACCTAATATGACAGAGTCAGTGCTCTTGGGAGGCCTCCAGCTGTGGGAAGAGCGAAGAGAAAGGTTTTCTTGTAGCTATGGATGGACCGGGCGAGGATAGATGTGTTTTTGAGGGCAGCAAGAATAAGTCATCTTGGGATCCTGCTGCTCTTCATTCCTGAAATTGGGTGAGCAGCCTTATTGTACTCTTACTAGGAACTCATCATTCCAGAAAACATTGTCCCTGGGGAGGATTAAGGGACACAACTCAGCTCAGATATTCAGTGACTAACAACAGAAAAGCAGGTTGCTTAAAGCAGAGTTATAAGGTCCTTGACCACAAACTCCATTTATTTAGTTGTCAAATTTGTATGCCAGCTGACTCCCAGTGATTAAGCTGCTTGCAACATTCAAAAGAAGGAAATTACAATAAAATCAATTAAAGTGGGGGGTGGAGAAATACAAGATGGCAAGAATGATAGACTGGAAATGAAGCAAAGGATCCCTCTCTTACTTGCCAAAGACCTGGGTGAAGAGCCAGGTTCATGGCTCCTCTAAACAATAGTGGAGTGTGGGTCTTCTGGATCTTAAGGAGACCCTCATTCCAGAGGGCCAGGATTGGTACAGAGCAGGTGAGATTCTGTGGTCCTGATAAATGATGTTTAATCATCGGAACCTGGAGTGTGCCAACAGATCAAAATAGCTACACAGATACTGTGGGAGACAGGCGGTCCCTCGAGTAACCAAGCCCTAAGTGTATGGCTTTAGAAGTAGTGAATTGCACTAGGAAGCAGGCTGGCAATCAGTACAGCTCGTGAAGCAGAGGTGTTACATGGGCGTCTTGAAGCATGCTTGTCACCGCGCCACTGTATTCTGGACCAGTTGGAATTTCCAGGGGAGTCCTCAAGTGCAGCCCCACGGAGACTGCATTGCAGTAGTCAAGATGAAAGGTGACCAGATCATCAGTGACTATCTGAAGCACCCCTGGATCTAGGAAAGAGCACAACTAGCATGCCAGAGGAAACTATGGAAAGACCTTTCTGGCTATAGCTACCACCTCTTTTTGAGCTGGAGCTGTGAGCCCAGGAAGATCCCCAAATTGTGTACCACACCTGAAAGGGGAGTGCAATTCCATTCAAGATGAAAGACTGAATATCTGCAGGTCTGGGTGGCCCTGGCCCCCCACAGCCGTTCGATCTTGGGTGGGAGATGGTTCTTCCCCATCCAAGCCTGTACAGCAATCTGTCCAGGGTGGAGATACTCACAAGGTCCAATTCCATAGAAGACGACAAAGAGGAAGATGAAAACGACACTCAAGTAGTGCATCCAAAAGAAGCGATGCTAGAAAGGAAAAAGGCTCCTTTAAATGTAACAGCAACCACACTCTGATTCCTGACTTTTGTTAAGGCAGTCGGAGATTTGAGGTGTCAAATTGGATTAATTAAATTTGGCCCTCCTGATCTAGAATGGGGCTCCTGAAATATGCCCACAAAGCATATCTGAATGGTCTTCATTTTGCCATCCATCCCATTTTCTTTCTTTTTTTTAAATAATTTTTTTTATAAATTTTCCAAATTTTAAAAAACAAAAAACAAAACTTTATACATTGTTATCAACATCAAGACATCTTTTGCATTTCCTCACATTTTTCAGTATATGTATTTACTTATTCCTTTACCATTACATCTTACTCTTACTATAAATCAATACCTTTTATCCTTACATCTCAATCTTCTCCATGGTATATTTACATATTTACATATTCCCTCATTCTTTTCCTAATGGCCATTTTATTTTCTTTTTATTTCTAAGCCACTCCTACCAGGCCTCCCAGGCCCTATAATAAATTGAATCTTCTCTGTCTTTTATTTTCATCATTAGCCTGTCCATCTCTATACAATCTATTATTTTTTTTAATCACCATGCCTTCTGGTGGAGCCATCCATCCCATTTTCATTTTGCTATACCTTACCATTGCCAGAAGCAGACACTTCTGCTTTTGCCAGAAAAAAACAACACTAAAATACCTCCCTTACTTGGAATGAAAGGGTTACTGTGAGTGCAGCCAACACCAACACCATGGCAGCATATCCTCCCCACAGCAGAGGCTTCCGCCCAAAACGCTCAATCAGGGAACTCTGAAATGCAGAAGGAAATAAAGAGAAAATACATTTTGACGGGCCAATTGTGGGAATGCTAACAAGTATTCTCCAAAATCTTAATTAACAGTATAAAGAGTTGGAAGGGACCTTGGAGGTCTTCTAGATCAACCCCCTGATCAAGCAGGAGACATTAGACCATTTCAGACAAATTGGACGGTTGTCTAATCTCTAAAACATACATAATTGCAGCCATGCAGATGATGCAAATCACGTCATATCTGTCTCACAGAAAACCAACTATCAGCCAAGAATAACCTACCATCTTCAATCTGATTTGAGAAAAAAGAAGACATGGTTCTGCCCATCTTTAATAAGGTCCTCCCTTCTTGCATGTCCTCTTGAACTTACACACAGAATGGATGAGAAGCACTCGCAGATGCCAACACCCAGGGCAATGTATGGAATGAGGGTTTCTTCAAACTGGGCTGTGCGAAAAACTTCAAACGAGTAGAAGTAGATCTAGAAAAGAACAAAAAACGAGAAGATAGGCAGAGTTTTTAGAAAGGAAGAAAAAGAAGAGGAGGGTTATTAATTTTTTTGGTTTTTAGAAAAGGGGCCTTGGGTCCAGTTGATAACACCTCATTTTAAGTAGGGGAGATTAATGTCCAAATCCGCCTGCACCAAATAAAACATTTTTTTTTCTTAAATGGTTCTATGATCTTGCCAACCTGGGTTTTGTGATGGGCTGAGCCACAGGTTGCGTTACTCTCTGCCAACAGTGATAGGGGACAGCAGCAGTTGTGGGATTCCTCGGAGCAAAGACTCAACTGCATTGATGCCACACAGCTGCAGGGTGCTCATGACGGTCATCATCACATACAACTGCCAGCGCAGTGATTGGGACTTCAGCACTTCTAGGACGCGGAGGCTTTTCGTGCCAGACATGGCTGCCTTTTCCCTCTTGATATCGTCAATCTCGGCTTGGTGGTCTCCCTCGCCCCAGAGCTGTTTGATGGCTGTGGAAAGAAGGACACGTGTGATGGCTCCCTTGTGTCCCTTTGCCCACTTGGGTGACCCTAGGTCAATATATATACTTGATATTGAGATATGGACAATCCATCCATTATGGAGATGGGGCAAAGTTCTGAGTTAATATTTATGTCTAAGATTGATAAATTATTGCCAGCTGTTTTAAGTGTATACAAAATCTGAATATAATACTGTAAAAAATTCTTACAATACTGTAAAAACAGTAAAGAGTATGAAACACACTCTTCATTGATTAGTTATCAAAGGCCTGCCAGAAAAGCTAGTCATAAGTATTTTTTGAGATGGGGGAACCCTTTCTTGTCCTTAGGTCTGATCCTAATCTGACCCTGAATCTGACCAAAAGGTGCAAAAAGCATTTGAGGCAATTTTGCCTCTGAACCGAACCTATGCCACTGGGATCCGTTGAGAACTTTCCTAGTAGAGACAGGATGTTATTTTTGGAGCTGTTCTCTTGTGCCTGTATTTCAAGAAAAGTAAGTCCAGCTAAATGTAACTACTGTATACTAGTTAGGATAAGGAGTTTTAGCCATCAGAGTAGCTTTCAAAACATGGTGTAATCATATCGAGGGAGCCTGGCATAAAAACTGACCATCAGAATTTGGAGTACCTGAATCCACTCGTAAACCTAACCAGGGAAGCTTAGATAATCCCTGTTTTTCTCTCCATCTGATTTCCAAGTTTTACATTCCAAGTAACTACAATAAGCAAGCTGACATTTTATCCTGGAAACCTGAATACAATTAAGCTGATTATGTTGCTCCCTTCAAAGTGTCATTCTGTAAGAAATGTTCACATCTATCAACATATCTGATGATTTGAAGGATTTTCAAGAACAGGTGCACAAGAATCCTTATGCTTAAAACTGCATAACATCTGAATGGTATTTTAGAACAACCATTTACCTTGTTTTCTAAATTTCCGGCAAGATAATTGGATGGAACATTTGCCAATTGCAGAATATGCATACAATAGTGCACATCATATAACAATTCATATGTCTCTTCCCTACTAAGTATGGTGTCCCTGGTTCTCATTTTCACAAGCCCCTTATTCAAATTCAGCAGTGAAGAACTTTAAGAATTGGTGATTTATCAAGTCTTGCAAGATCAACTTCAGATAGCTAAAGAGACTTACAAAGGATTTGCAGACAAGCATCATGAACCGGATCCCAGTTTACAAACAGGCAATTAAGTCTGGATTTCTACTCGACATGCTGCCTCCTTGCAAAAAATTAGGCCACAAATTTATTAGTCCCTTTCCTATGGAAGCTGCAATTAATCTTGTGCACCAAGTCAAGCTACCTGCCTCTATCAAGGTGTGTTTCATATTGTTCCCTTCTACTTTCCTTCTTGCTTGAGCAAGTTCCTTTCATTTTTCATTCCTCTTCTGCCTCCCAAGTTGCTTCCATCCTGGACTCTCCGTTGAATTGCACTCAAGAAGAAACTGGTAACCAAAGCAGCCTTTGTAGACATGGTATTGCCCAGTAAGTGCAAGTGCTAGATTTGTCATCAGCTATTTGTTCTTACCTACTTCCATGGTTTCATTGCTTTTCAACACTTCTTCCTTTGTTAGATCATTGCATATATTTTGGCTACCCTTAGTGTACCTTCACCATGGGGTACAATAAAGAGCGGGTCAACCTATTCTCCAAAGCACCTGAGAGGCAGGACATGAAGTAACGGATGAAAATTTATCGAGGAAATTATCCAGCCTAGAACTTTCCTGACAGTGAGAACAATTAGCAATTAACCAACTTCTCTCCAGAAGCCGTGGGTGCTCTTATCACTGGATAGAGATTGGACAGCCATTTGTCCAGAACAGTATAGGGTTCCCTGTTTATGCAGAGGGTTGGACTAGGAGATTTCCAATGTCTCTTCCAACCCTATTAAGGTCACTACATGGTTGATGATTGATTTGCCAAGCTTTTGATCTAGTGCTTCTAGTTCGTTTTGTGTCTGGTATATAATTACTGCAAAGGATTTAAGAAGTGGTCTGATTCAAGTGTTGATGGTTTAAATAGTATTTCCACCATTAAGCATCAATTTCAGGACTTTCCCTATGCTTTCTGTATAGTCCTAGGTTATACTGTATTGACCTCCAAGTGCCTAATGCTATTTGATTGTTAGAGACCGCATTCTCTGTGGTGAAACTTAATTTGTTTTCAACTGGCATTTTAATTCCATCATGTTTTAACCAATTTTCAGTTCAGGAGCATTGGCATAGCAATGGAAACAGATAATTTTCTCAGGGTTTCCTTGGTGGCTGCTCTACCAGGTATCAGGCAGGGCAGTTTGATATTCTCTTCCCACTTCCTATCTTTGTAAGATCAGATCCTGCCCCCTCCTCTCTCTCCTCAGCTGTGTTAATGGTCCTGCTTGCCCCCAAGGCAGAGGACAGCTGGACTTGAGACGCTTCCAAGTGTAACAGCATATTCCAGCCCTGTTCCCCTTTTGTCTGAGAAGAAAGATCCTCCTACCTTTCAGGAAGGCCTCTTCGTTGCCTTTCTGTATCAGAAGGTACGATGGGGAGTCAGGAAAGCACGGGAGTGTCACCAATTGGATTGCGGCTGTGAGCCCACTAAAAGCCAACAGCAGCGGCCACAAGGACTCTGAGCCCAAAATTTCCCTGCGGAAAAAGGAAGAACATAATTTGTCCTGCACTATGCGAGAGAAGGTTTTGGCTTTTCTCCACCAGACTTTATTTGCTCACTACAGTATTCGCCACACTTTGTGAGTCTCTGCAGAGTCAAGGACACTCAGCAGGGATGATGGAGTTTTTACTTTGCTACATTGATGACCACAAGGAATGGATCTCATCTCTGTTTCAAGGGCCATTGAGCCAGCACTGTCCGAAGACATTTCCAAGGCCGGCGTAATGTCATGGAGCACTGCTAGCTTCCCACCAAAATGGTACCTACTGTATTTATCTACTCATCATATCACGTGGAGCTTGGGTCTCGAACCTGGGCTGTGGGTTTCCCAGCTGACTCAAGCCCAGTGTCTTTACCACTGAGCCAGTGTGCCACCCAGCATGGATAAGATGGAGGGAGATGATGCAATCTTCTTCCCTCCTTCACCAAGCAAAAATGGAAGAAAATCCCTCCTCTAAGGATTGAATGGCATTTAAAATTTAATTTTAAACCAAAATAGACAATCCAGATTTGTGTAAATAGCAAATAACCTGTGTAATTATCAGCCAGTGTGAAAGTAATATATTTATTGTTGCTATTTTAAAAGATGGGAATCAGATCTGAGATTTTCCTTTTCACTGGAAAGTCACTCTTATTGTAAGCAATACAAGACCGCACTGTTTGGTCTATTTGAAATTCTGTGGAATGAAATTGCACCCAAGGTGGAAAACCTGAGATTCTACAACATGTTCCTGAGTTTATTATAACATTTTCAAAATATTTTTGCCTCATTTGTATTTGGATTATTTATTTTAGAGGACAAAAGAGATGGCTGATCAGATTTCTATTGCACAGCAATTATCAAGATAATATTCATGTAACATTTTCGTATCTTTAGGTTCAAAGCCAAATGCTCCAGTTTCAACTGAAATGAAAAATTGTGAAATTTAAAGCTTAAATTAAGTGTTCACCATTTAAATCTGGTGATTTAAATGGCTTTCAGAGAGTGTATTTTGGAAAGGGACTTACCCAAGACCAATGATTTGTCCTGCAACTTTGCCTAATGTCAGAAAAACAGCAACCGTGGCATTTGTAAATCCCCGCAACTTCTTTGGCGAAATCTCTCCCACATATTGAGGATGAATGTTGAAAGAAAAGCCTTCAGAAAGGAAAAGGGTTGCAAAGAAGAGTGTTGAAGAATTGGCCAGCATGTCATCTAAGAGGTCATGTCACTAAAACCATCTTACATTGTCAAGAGGCATTACTGAGTTATGGGTAGTGAAGGATTACAGTGACACCAGGCGAATCAGAAAGGGCTAAAGAGAGGGAGAGGCCTGTGCCAAGGAGGGCTCTGAGTTAACCACTCTTGAATCAGCCTCTCCTCCAGAATATTTGATCACAGCAGAACTTTGCCCGTGTTGAGTCAATGGACTTGCTCACGCTTAAAAGATAGCCAACAGCTACCAATGCCAATCCCATATAGCTACCAATGCCAATCCCATAGAGGAGGCGTCCAAGGAGGATCATCTCAAAAGACTTGGCCATCTTGCTGAAACCCATGAACAGGGCAGCCGTCAGCATGATCAGGTTGGTGAACATCTGGCATTTCTTTCTGCAACAGAAGGTGCAGGGGTGTCAGTGAGGGACAGGCATTTCAAGGGTTTTTGTTTTTTTTCCAGCAAAGCACAGCTCTATAAGCAGCACACATTGAATTGTTTTTGGTTTCTATTGGAGACTTATAATTTTCAAAGCACCAGGCAGCACATGGTATCCAAGCTGACTCCTGCACTCTCAAAGGAGAATGCTAACCACCAGCAAAGGAAAAACAGGGCTATTCAAATTTGGTTTTGATTTAGTCTTCAAGAATGATAAAAACCAAGTTACGTCTTTCCCTAGAAAATTGTGGAGAGCAGGATGGAAGGACAAGATCAACGCATAATCGATGTCCCTATAGACAGGTAGTCTTTGATTAACGGTAGTAGTTGGGACTGGATTTTCCATCACTAAGCGATGTAATCCTAATATGCGATGGCAATTCCAGCACTCCTGTTACTACCATTAAGTGAGGATCAAGAGTCATTAAGCAAGGATCTCCCCACAACTTCCTGCTGGCTTGCAAGAAGCAAGGTTGGTGGAGAAGCTGGCAGGAAGATGCAGATTGGGCGGAGAGGTAAGAGGCTGCTGCCAAGTGTGAGAGGGAGGGTGAAGGCTGGCAAGGGGCAATCTGAGTGGGTTGAGGCTTGGGATGCTGCAGGGCACAGGAGGACGCATGAGGGGCCAGTGAGGGGCAGCGCGAGTGCTGCAGGGGCTGCTGCAGGAGGACAGGGCTGGGGGGGGGGAACTTGTGAACTTTTCTGCTGGCTTCCTCATTGCCTTTGCTTGAGGCAAGACAGCAACAAAGCTTGCAAATGGTGCTCTTGTGATTGCTGGAGCTTGTAACTGTTCTATGTACGAGCCAGTTGCCAAGCACCCTGCTGAGGAAGCTGGAATCTTGGGGACCACTTGCAACTACCACTCATGCAGCAGCATTGTGACTTTGGTTGCTGAACAAGTGGTTATTAATCAAGAACGACATATAAGGAGGATTCAGAGGCAGGGAGTCCTTGAATTAAAACAACAAGCCTCAGATCTCCATTAGTAAGTGAGGGGCTCACTAATTGAGTTGTGCCACTAATTGAGTTGTGCCACTAATTGAGTTGTGCCACCATTTTTTGCCAGAGTTGTTAAGTGAATCATGCAGTCATTAAGCAAATCTGGCTTCCCCATTGACTTTGCTTGTTGGAAGCTGGCTGGGAAGGGGTCACAAATGGTGGTCACATGATCCCAGGGACAGTGCAGCTGTCACAAATACATGCCAATTGCTGAAAAATTGATCCTGTGATCATGGGAATATTGCAACAGTTGTAAGCGTGAAAACCAATTTTGTGTCACTTTTTCAGGGTAGTTAGTACCTTTGGTCACTAAATTGGTCGGGGACTATAATCTCAGGTTTATAGGCTTATTGAAGGACAGGAAGGAAAATTGAGAGAGATTGAAGGCACTGGAACATTTAATATTTAGCCCCAAGGAAGGAATATTGGAGGGCAGCATTGTGGCCACCATCTCGACTTTTAGTTTGACCGTACCGTGTGAACACCCTGAATTAGGGCGCCAAAGGGCTACAATCAATGTAGAGTTTCAAACATTTTGAACACTTGGTACTTGGAGATAACAAGGGCCATACTATAAACAGATCTAACTAGTGAAGAAGTTACTTTCTATATTTTGTGGTGAGGTATCCACAACAGACACTCCCTACGAGACCTCCAATCCCGTAACTGGATACTATGAAGGACCACAACAAGATAACATTCTCTTGAGGCAGTGGTGAGCCATGTCGTTCCAGCCAGGTCTCATTAATGAATTTTTTAATATGCTGTGAATAAAGAAAATGCATTCATTTTACAGTTAATGAGTTTCTTCACTTTTTTCCCACGAGTTTACCTATTAGCCACCCTAGCACAATGCCCCAGCCACCCCCACCCCTCTGGCCACCACAGGTCCCGCAACTCCAGGAGGCCGAACCTTCTCTGCCCCTGGCTTAAAGCGGCAATGTTTGGACTGAAGGAAAAGCCCATAGAAAGGAAGGGGCACCAACGCTTACCATGGAGGGATAGTTGATTACAGAAATGTGAAACCCATAAGGGAAGCTGCCCCCAATTCCCAGTACGAGGATCATCTGGAATAGTCCCCGGTATTGAATCTGGAAAGAGAAAAGATGTTAAGGCTTCTAGCGTTGGACACCAGTTTCCTACTGAAGCTATATCCTCAAAGTCACCCCCTCCCTCCCTCACACCCATGCACACAACTTGAGAAAGGGGAAGGGCATCCGCAAGGCTGGATCGGGGCCTAGAATAACATGCAGCTTTCCGTGACTGACTCTTCCTTTAGGACAGCGGTTCTCAACCTTCCTAATGCCGCGACCCTGTAATACAGTTCCTCATGTTGTGGTGACCCCCAACCATAAAATTATTTTCATTGCTACTTCATAACTGTAATTTTGGTACTGTTATGAATTGTAATGTAAATAATATATCACAATAGCTTTAATAATACAAAAGATGATACATGGCATAGTTCAGTCAATACAGTTCATTAAAGTTTCCTATGATTTACCATTCCTGTGTTGTTGTTTTTACATACCTGTTACTATCACAAGGGGGCAGTTTTCACATCAACCACAGCTCAATATAAAAAGACCGATAGGGCATCCAGATTAAGTTCCCATGGTACAGATTTTTTTTTTGCAGTAATTGATGATTTTACAGTACATCATTTTACATTTACCCAGTAATTATAATTCATGAAGTGTCATTTTGCCTCCAATACTGCTGCTTTCAACACCGTAGCTGCTTTTAACAGAGTAGCTGCTTTCAACACAGTAGCTGCTCTCTACACATGTGTGACTGGTCCGCATAAGTACATTATGACGCCAACCCTGTCACATGCACCTGTATTTGTACGGGGTGTATGCGGTGAGGTTGGCGCGATGATGTCATCACGCCAGGTATTGGTATGTGGTCGTATCTGCATGTGGGCGGACCCGCCTGGAGACGGATAGAGGAGCGGTGTCTCGGTTCCTAAGACCATCGAAAATATGTGTTTTCCGATGGTCTTAGGCGATCCCTGTGAAAGGGTCGATCGACCCCCAAAGGGGTCACGACCCACAGGTTGAGAACTGCTGCTTTAGGGGGTCCCCAGGGCAAGGTGCCAAATTCACCTCCCCCTCCCACTCAGGCTGAACCTCCTGGCAACCTCTGTCCAGCTGGAGATTTTGCAGCCCTTCCGCCAACAAACTCTTCCCTTCGGGCACAAAGAGAAAAGTGTTTTGGGACCTTCTCACTCAGAAATACAGAATTCCATGTGCCAATCCTGAGATATAATGGGCAGCTGCAGATATGGTAGGAGGAGGAGAGTCATGGTACACAGACGTGTACACAGACATTCAAAGGAAACGGGAAGCATCTTTTCAGACTATTTGATGAGAAGGCATAGCCTTTTGTGAACTACAGTTTACTTCAACAGAGCTCATAAAACATGCCTTTTTAAGGCAAGATGGTTGAGACCTTTTTAACAACCAGTGGTGGGCTGTAACCAGTTAACAACCGGTTCTGTTAGCACGTGCTTCGCACCTGCACAAAGTGTTCAAAATACACCAATTTGAAGCTCGACAGCTTACCTTCTAGGGCAGCCCTGTGGTAAGTCAAACAGCGGAGGTGCAGAAATCCACTGTGCCACGCAAGTCAGCTGAGCTGAAAAACGTGGAAATGTAGGACAGGATAGGGTGGGGATGGGTGAGCGGGCCCAGCTGATTGTCGGAGCTACCAGTTGGCTAGAACCGATTCAAACTGGCAGCATCCCACCCCTGATAACAACATCGTTGCTCTTCTGATGTAGAATATAGAACAGCACATTCAGAGGTGGTATTCGGCTCATTGGGACCGGTTCTGGCGTACCTGTGTAGCGGAACGTTTGAGTAGTTTGGAGAACCGGCAAATACCACCTCTGGCTGGCCCCACCTCTGCCTGCCGGCTTGCCCCACCTCCGCCCACCGGGGTTGCCATTCAGGGTGGGGAGGCTGCGTGACTGGGAGCCACACTAATCAGCTGGGAGGCAGCAATGGACCAGCAGCCCTAATCAGCTGGGAGGCTAGTCAGTCAGTTCAGTCAGACCTTCCAACTTTGTGAGATCTTTTTTCCCCCCAAGAAGCTGGAAGGTCTGATTGAACATTTTTTAAACTGGTGGTCACATGGTCTTCTTTTGTTGCCCTACACACAGGAGAACAGAGCTGGAAATCAGGTTAGTGAGGGAATGGTGGGTGTTTTGGAATGGGGTGGGAGTGAGGATTTTGCATTATAATGCAAAGTCCTCACTTCCACCCCATTCCAGAGCAATCACCATTCCCTCACTAAATCTAATTTCCAGCTCTGTTCTTGTGTGTGCAGGGCAACCAAAGGAGACCACGTGGCCACCAGTTTAAAAAATGTTCAATCAGACCTTCCAACTTTGTGAGATCTCCCCCCTCCAGAAGTTGGAAGGTCTGACTCAACCTTTTTTTAAACTGGTAGTCACATGGTCTTCTTTGGTTGCCCTGCACAGGAGAACGGAGCTGGAAAGCAGGTTAGTGGGGAGGGGAGGGAAGGGGGATGTTGCAGTTTATCCTTCCCCTGCCACGCCCATCAAGCCATGCCCACAGAACCGATAGTAAAAAAAATTTGAATCCCACCACTGAGCACATTGTATGGCTAGGAATTTGGCAAAGAAAACCAAAGAAGTGGATTGTCCTTAGGAAGAAAGGGGAGAATAAACATTTCCCAATACACAAGAAAAGAACTCTTTGTCGTTTGTTCCTACTGCCATCTGGTGTAAGGATGCAACCTTATTCTGGAAAGTGGTAAACCTCAGTTGGAGTGAAAAACAAAATTAAAGAAGAATGGGAGAATCTTTACATTTTATAGTTTGCTCCCTATCCCACTTCTGCTAATTCTCCAATTAATGTATAGCTTACTGATGTTACACTGTCAAGTCCCTATGCCTTCAGGCAACAACCCCCACCCGAAAAAGAGAATAATTTCCAGGGTTATTATCACCTCTTGGGTCTGTGTCTGAAGACAAAGCCAAGATCAGAGAGTCAGTTTTTTCAAGGGAAATATGTTTGGTGAAAGTCTATTTTGACTAAACTTTAACTCCTCTGGCAAACTTCTCCAGGGCTGGTACACAGGCATAAGTGTTCTCCATATACAAAAAATTATAAACCAATTAGCCTGATTAATGTCAGGGACAATATTTATGCAAAACACCTAGCCAATAAATTAAAGTTCTGGCTCATTGATAATGTGCTTGCAGAATCACAGGCAGGGCTTCTCCCCAGTTGACCATGGTGTTATATTGGATCATTTTATAAATAGCAATAAAAAAACTGTTTCCTTTCTGGCTAATTCATGCCGCTTTTGATCCTATCAACAGAAACAAACTGTAGATTAACAGATGGCTGAATTTGAAAAAAAATAAAATTGATTTTACTCATGGCATTATATACAAATAATCCAATTCAGATTACATTTACTCTAGGCACGAGTGTCAAACTCGCTGTGTCACATTGCCATCACGTCACACGTATCACAAGGTTGTTTTCCGTTTGCGGAGCTGGGGTGGGCGTGGCCTGCTCATGATGCATCTGGCCCATGGGCCGCCTGTTTGACACGACAGATAACTCCAAGATCTCTTAAAGGGTTGAAATGAGGAGGTGTGCTTGCTCTTCTCCTATTAACGATATTGTGTTGATTGCCTTTTCATCAAACGTGTTAGTCTGAGAGGATGAGATCAGACTCCCTGGTTAATAAGTAGCTAGGTAACTGCAATTGTGCACATAAGGGATGCTTTAATGCAGGGGTCTCCAAACTTGGCCACTTTTAAGACTGGTGGACTTCAACTCCCAGAATTCTCCAGCCGGCATAGCTTACTCTCTTGTAATCTCTTCCTCTACAATCTCTCTCCACTTTAGGAGGTTAAGAGAAAAAAAAGAGACAGACACGGCTGGCTGGAGAATTCTGGGAGTTGAAGTCCACAAGTCTTAAAAGTGGCCAAGTTTGGAGACCTCTGCTTTAATGGAAACTCTGCAATAAACTAATAAAGTTTAAATATGAAAAGGGAGTTTATTGAGAGAAGATAATACGCGAAAGCAAGGGTACAATCACACAGAATTTCTTAGCAAAGCTAGTTATGTACTGTCTCCTTGGATAAGCTTTTGGGTTCCAGCAGAAGGTTTCAGAGTTGGCGAGACTGTCCGGACCCACTCTTTGGATTATGCTTGTATCTTGGGCTTCAAATGGGACTCTGAAGGAGAAACTGGATTTGGGCATCCTTCTGTTCTGGAACCCACCAGCACAGTTCTTCCCCACACCCTCTTCCCTCCCTGCTGATGGCTTCCCCCAGGGACCCCACCCCCCATTGCTCCATTTCTTGACGTCTTTACTTAGCCATCAAGTCAGGAATTATCTAATGGCCAAGTCTTCCTTTCTAATGACTGTTGAATGATTAAAAAAAAAAAAAAGAACATACCAGTTTTTGCTGTTTCTGGCTTTTATGTAAGTGATATTTCCATGATGAGTATTCTTGTGGGGGAATTGAAAGCTTAATTCTATTTCAAAGGAACTCTGGTGCCATATCACAGGCCAAGCTCGCTCTCACAGACTGACCAATGTCTTCACCGCTACCCACATTGGTCACTGAACTGATCGTATAACAAGCCAAACCCAAGAAAGCTTCCATTTTGGGATGCTGAATATTTTAGAGGAAAAGTACTTCTAAGCCGTCCTTCCCACAAAATGTTTTCGTTTACACCGTTCATTTTCAAGCGGGATCCGAACATGAAGCTACAAGGGATTCCCTGGAGTTGGTCAAAAGACATGGTCTACTGAGCCTGGGACTCGAAGCAGGCTGCCCTTTCTTCTTCATCCATGCTTTTCAGACAATTTGTGTTAGATAACAGAGAATCAGAGTTGGAAAGGACCTTGTAAGTCATCTAGTCCAAACCCCCCACCCACCCACCCAAGTGGGAGACCCTACACCATTTCTGACAAATGGCCGTCCCATCTCCTTGCCTTCTGGCATTAGGTAAAGAGTTCAAAGAAGGCTCAGCTCTGGCATTGTCCCAAGGGACCTGGCTGAAGTGGCCACTCTCCAAGGAAAAGCTGGTTTGCCCCCCCCCCCCCATTTCTGTGACTGCAATCCAGCCAGGAGGGGAAACCCAGGATTTAACTATCATGCATGATAAAAGGGAGGGAAACGGAGGTACTGTGTTACCTAGAGTCCCAGAATATGTCCACTCACCTGCCGCTTCTGGGGCAGTCTAACTCTATGGCAGTTAGTTCTGTTGGATTGAACTGGGATTCACTTCTTGATAGACATGTGTAGGATCAGGTACTCAGAACACAAAATGCCATCATGTTCCAGTGCAATGAGGAGCCCTATCACTGAATCCCACCTCTTGTCTTTTAGACGACTCCTGTCCCAAGCCTTCTCTCCAACTCCAGCTGGTGCTCAGCATCCTCTCCCCGTGTTTCTTTGACAATACCCCCCCCCCTTCCTGGGAAATTGGGGCAGAGCTTCCAAAAAGTGGTAGGTGTTAAGGAAGTAAGAATGCCTCCCCCAGGTAGCTGGATGTCCCTGGTAGTTTCCTTCACAAGTCCTAAAGGAAAGGTGGGCTATCAAATGAACAAACCAGCAAGGAGGACACCCCCCACCCCCGTGAGGTTCAGCGCCCAGAGCTTTCCCTCTCTGGATGTGTCTGTGTAGGGATAGTAAATGATAGGTAGCCTAGTACTCACCAGATCGGAAAGGAAGCTCGCCATCTCTTAGTTAAGGAGTGAGCAGGAACTAATTTCCTGTAACTGGAAGGCACGTGGGCTGCTTCTCAAAGAAGTCTCTTACTGCAGAAATAAGCAGTTGGCCCCATTTAATTAAAGTTAAAGTTTGCCATGCAGGTTTCTAATTAATCTATTAATTTTGCTTTCTCTGCAAAGTTGGAGCTTTTGGGTTAAATAAATAATCCAGCAGTAGATACAATGACCAATTAAAGAATCAGAAACTGCCTAGCTTCTGCTAACGCCCACAGATTTAGGGAATATTTGGTCTTTGCTGTCATCAGATTATATAAATTTCCCCTTGCCTCACTGAGTCCTGAAAACCATGTGAGGTGGTTATAGAAATGAAACTTTCTGCTAGCAGTTGGTTAGAGTTGACAAGACAAATTCAGTTCTTTGGACCAAAATAATGTAATGTTAATGAAAGTTTACCTGAATACACATTTCTTTTTCTTTTTTGTCAAGCATGTGTTAGATAACAGATATAAGTATAAACATGATTATTAATACATGAAGTAGATATGACTAAAAGGGAACATTAGGATAGGGATGGTAGGCACATTGGTGCGCGTATGCACGCCCCTTACAGACCTGTTAGGAATGGGGTGAGGTCAATAGTAGACAGTAAGGTTAAAGTTTTTGGGGTTTGGGGAAGAAACCACAGAGTCAGGTAGTGTATTCCAGGCATTGACCACTCTGTTGCTGAAGTCGTATTTCCTGCAATTGAGTTTGGTGCAGTTTACCTTGAGTTTGTATCTATTGTGTGCTTGTGTATTGTTGTGGTTGAAGTTGAAGTAGTCATTGACAGATAGGACATTGCAATGGATAATTTTATTTACTATGCTTAGGTCGGACCGAAGGCAGCATAGTTCTAAGTTGTGTAGGCCTAAAATTTCAAGTCTGGTGGCATAAGGTATTCTGTTACGAGTAGAGGAGTGGAGGATTCTTCTCATGAAATATCTCTGGATGCTCTCGATTGTATTAACGTCCGATATGCAATGTGGATTCCAGACAGATGAGCTGTATTCGAGAATTGGTCTAGCAAATGTTTTGTATGCTCTAGTTAGTAGTACAATATTACCGGAGAAAAAGCTACGCAGGATTAGGTTAACAACTCTTAATGCCCTCTTGGCAATGTTGTTACAGTAGGCTCTAGCACGTAGATTATTAGAGATGAGTACTCCAAGGTTGCTCTCAAGTGCAGATTCGCCGGTTTCTGTGCTCATGGATGCGACTCCCAACAGATAAACCAGACCTGGTTCAAGAGAACTGGTGAATCACTGAGGCTTGATGAATTGATAAAACGCAGCACCTACACACATATTTATTTATTTATTAAATATATTTGCCTCCTATCTTGCCATGGGGCTACTCTAGATGGCTCACAATAATAAAAAGGAAGAAAATGAAAGTGTAAACAAAACCCTTTGCTCCCCCATTGGATGTTGGCCTTTTGTTGGAAGTATAGACGAAAACACTGCTTGTGCTCCCAATTCTTTAACTTTCTTCCCTAGCTGTTCATAATACCTTGTTGTTGTTTTCAGATTCATTGTTATGTCCTTGGTCCTCATGTGTAGGAGAAGAAAGAGATAGTAATCTGTGGGGTTGATTAGTAAGGTACTCAATTATTTCTTTGATTTTTGCTCTAGTGAGACAATATTCCTCCCATGATTGACTGCCTGCTCTGCAGACTATAATTTTTGTTCCCCTAAGAATTGAATCTCCTATCACCAATATTCACCCTTTTTCCTTAGGAAGTCTGGGGTCCTTTTCTTCCTGTCGCAGGAATGCTGAGTTGTGCCTCTTTATTAGAAACTATTAATGAATGCTCTTTTGTGAGTGTCCACATATTTTCCTCCAGGGGAGGTTATGAAAGCGATGATTCTGTTCCAGAGGGACTTCATTGGAGTGAGCTTGGGTAGATAGTAAGGGCTTTGCTCTTGATTGTTCTTTTTTTCTAAACGTGACATGCTTCCATTGGTCTTGCTCTTTAGGCACATATGTAGGGTCGGTTTTTTTTACAGAAGCTGCAAAAAATTCAGAAGGAGACTCCTTGTAGAATTGGACCTTTCCTGGAGACTGCAATTACTTCTTTGGCAAAGAAAAAAAGAATTTGGAATGGTTTAGGTGAAACCTAAATTTAGATTAGATGAAACCTGGCTCAATAGTATTAACTGTGAGAGGAATCCTGGAATCCTAGTGGACAATCACTTAAGCATTGTGTGGCAGCAGCCAAAAAAGCCAACACAATCCGAAGTTGCATAACAGAGGGATAGAATCAAGGTCATGTGAAGTAGTAGTGCTGCTTTATAATGCCTTGGTGAGGCCACACTTAGAATACTTCATCCAGTTTTGATCACCCTGTTATAAAAAAGATGTAGAGACTCTGGAAAGATCAGCCACTTGTCTGGAACTCCATAGGGTCTCTTGCTGGAGCAGGGGGTTGGACTTCCAACTCTGTTATTCTGTTAATAATTCAGGCTTACCGGAATGTAGGATGGAATTTTATTGGACTCCTGAATTTTCTGTCACTTTTCAGCAAATTACTAGCCAGTAATTTCTCAATGATCATTTCGCATAGTTAACCTGCAGTGATTCGAGAAAGAACAGTTTATGTTTTACCACAGAGTTCCCCAACCTTTCTGGCTTTGTGGACTGGTGGGGAGAGGGGATGGGTTTTGTGTAAGTGGCTGGCAAGTTCGCCACACACACACCCCTGCTGCTTACACAAGTGGGATGTGCGCATGCTCACCCACGGCTTCTGCAGCCAGGTTCCAAATGACCAGGGACCCTGGTTTCCCAGAGCCTCACAGAGTAGAGGGAGTCAACCTATTCTCCAAAGCAGGGGTCCCCAACCACCGGGCCCCGGACCGGTCCCGGTCTGTGGATCATTTTGTACTGGGCCGCAAAGAATGAAAGTAGGGCTTACTTTGCTTGGGCGCCGCCATCTTGTTTCGACGGCACTTGAGAAAGGGCTTCTGGGTGAGCTTGTCGGTCGTCGGTTGGAAAGCGGCATTTGGGTGCTGAAGGAATCCTCGTGCCTTAGTTTTGTCGAAGGGGGGGGGCGGCTTCGAACGAAGAGCCGTCCCGATGGCGGTGGAGTCTCGCGTTACTCAGGAGGAGATTAAGAAAGAGCCCAAAAAGCCCATCGACCGCGAGAAGGTACAAAGGAGGAGTTGAAGGTGGCGGGGAGAAGCAGGGGACGGCTGGCTGGCCGGTCGCTCGGCTCGCCTTGCCTTGGTCGTGTGTGCTGATGCCAGTACCGGTCCGTGGATCATTTTGTACCAGGCCGCAAAGAAGGAATAATCGTGAAACTGGTCCCTGGTACAAAAAAGGTTGGGGACCACTGCTCCAAAGCACTGAGGAAAGGACAAGAAGTAATGGGTGGAAGATCATTAAAGAGAGGTTCAGATCTAAGGAGAAATTTCCTGGCAGAATAATTCATTGGTGGAATGACTTGTCTCCCCTGGAGATTTTCAAGAAGAGGCTGGACAGCCATTTGCCCAGAATGGTATAGGGTCTCATGCCATGCTTAATGGGTTGGACTAGATGATCTCCAAGGTCCTTTCCAACCCTATTGTTCCATCTTCTATCGATCAGTAAAGGGAGAAACTTAAATTTGAAAGTTATTCCGCTCATTAGGGTGGAGAGAATAGAAGCCTGCTGGGGTGGATGATCATTGTCGAGGTGGAAAACAGTACGGATGTTGGTACACTTTTGCTCTCAGTGAAAGTCTTTCTCCCCCCCTCCCTCTCCTTGATCCCTTTGCCTTTGAATATCTGAGGAGCTAACCTAGCTAGGTTACCTACTAGCTAGGTAACCTACCTAGTACATAGAACAGAGAACTGTAGGGCTGGAAGGGACCTCGGAGGTCTTCTAGTCCAACTCATGGCAGGAGCCTCATACCACCCTAGGCGAATGGCTGTCCAGTCTGTTTTTGGAAACCTCCAGTGATGGAGCACTCGCATCTCTGGGAGACATTCTGTTCCATTAGTGCCATCAATTAATTGTTCTCGCTGTCTCACTTCTAGGTTGGATCTCTTTCTAACAAGCTTCCATTTATTACCTCTTCTGCCCTCTGGTGCCTTAGGGCAGGCATCCCCAATACTCAGGCCGCATCCTACTAACAGGCCACGGCCTGTTCAAACCGGTCCGCAGGAGAGACGGGCAAGCATGTCCATGTGTGAAGCTTTGCCCAAGCAAGCAAAGGGCGCTTGCACTTGTGCGCAAAGCTCCACGTGCGAGTACACTTGTGCATGAAGCCTTATTCGTGTGAATGGAGCTTCACGCACAAGCACTGTCTGCTCGCACAAATGGAGCTTGGTGCACAAGCGCAAGTGCCCTCCGCTAGCGCACAAAGCTCCATTCGCGCGAATGGCTGGTGCCCATGCCCACTGCTTGCACAAATGGAGTTGTGCATACGCCTGTGTGCCTGCCACTCACACGCACAGCTGGAAAGGTTGGGGACCACTGCCTTAGGGAATAATTCAATTCACTCAAGTTCCTGGAAGAGAGTTATCATGTCCCTCCCCCAAATCCTTCTCTTGGATGGGTAGACCTATCTAGCTCCCTCAACCATTCATCATATAATTTATCCTCCATACTCTTTATCATCTTGGTTTCTCTTCTCTGTGCTCTTCCTAAGGTCTCAACATCCCTTTTTTTCTGTCAAGGTGACCAGAACTGGGTTCAGTACTCCAAGTGTGGTCTCACCCGCATGGCATAAAGCGGTACTATCACTTTTTTCGTGATACTGATGTTATCCCTCTGTTGATGCAGCCTAGGACAGCATTGGCTCTTTCGGACGCTGCCACTCACGGCCGGGTCATACTAGGGGCAGGGCCACTACAACACTTAGATCCCTGTCACAGTCTTTATTGTTGAGACGTTCTGTCCCTGTGAACCTGTTTTTTCCTGCCTAAATGTAGGACCTTACTTTTCTCACCACTGAGCTGCGTCTTGTTGGATGGACATGGGAGAGACATGGA